TGCCGATCGAATAGTTTCGTGGAATTCAGGCTTCAAAGGTATAATTATGTGTCTTGTGTGTTATTCATGCGATCTTGGTTGAGGTGCTTATGAATTTGATTCATGAAATTCCGCTTTTAGTACCTATAAACGCCTACATTGTTTCCTTGTGGATTCGACCTACTTTCCTATCTACTTTATTTAAAGACTTAAGAATTTTGGACTCAGTGATACGAACATAACCTGTTAAAATTTGGCAATGTTGCCGGGGAAACGGTTTTATTTTTAACTCTAATTATTTTTGTAATCTAGATAATTTTTCCCTCGTCTCAAAGAACGCAAGTCCATTGTGATAGTTCCTCATATTTGTTGTTTAGTTCTTTGTTTTATGCCCATGTGTTCAAGATCAAGTTATATCACATTCAATCTTGAGATCGAGCAGTCTTTCCATAGACAAAAGAATCTCTACAAACAAATATGGTAGGTTCCGGGAGTAACATTCCTATGGACCCCTATCTGCTTCTAACGACATAGAAGTATCTTTAGAACCAGAATCAGAGACGGCCACTAAACCACCTTGAAAGCTTAATGATTATTTGCAGCCGACCCTAACGGATCTTCCCCACCTTGCTCCTCCACCGGATCTCAAAGGATTACAATTCGAGATCAAATTAAGGTTTATTACTATGATGGAAAGGAAGCAATTTAATGGAGCTAAGAATGGAGATCCTAATCTTCATATATTGGATATTTGCCAATATTACAGTACCATCAGACAAGTTGGGGTCACGCAGGATCAAATGAGGGAGAATCTTTTTCCCTTTTCTTTTTGTGGCAAAACTAAATTGTGGTGTAATAGATTAAATAAAACTGTACTTTCTATTAATGACTAAAATTCTCTTGCCTTAGCTTTCTATAATAAATATTATCCTGCAGAAAAGGCTGCTTTATTACGAAGCTCAATCCTAAATTTTTCCCAAGAGGCTTATGAAGCTTGGGAAAGATTTAAGGATTTGCAGAAGAACACGCTCAACATGGGATTTTACAGTGGCAGTTGATCCAAGCCTTCTACAACTAGCTTGGAAATTCTTCGAAATCAATCCTAAACTTGCAGCTAACGGAAGATTTATGAATCTTTAAGAGGATGTAGCAGGCATATTTATTAAAGAGATGTCAATTCATAAATCCCGATATGGGATAGGTTTTGCAAACAAAGGAAAACATCATGTCGATTTCGTAACCCTTGTGCAAGCTCAATTAACCTCTATTTGTCAAAAAATTAGATAATATTAGTATTGTTATTCCAGCTCTGTTACTAATGTTTCAACTATTGATAATACTATTACTGATGTTTTTTTTGAAAATTATGGAATTGTAAGTCATTAGGCACATAATTGTAGGAGTCCAGTGGAGCAAATTAATGCCTTCCAAGCCTATAGGCAAAATAATCCATAATCCAACATTTATAATGCTGGTCTTCGAAAGCATCCAAACTTTTCTTTTCCGAAATACTAATGTGTTAAACCCTCCACCTCCACAACAACCACAACAACAAGTGTTTTGGGTTTTTTTGTCCCTCGGGAGAGTTATGTCACAAAGCCTGGTATGGCGTGAGCTGTACCTGCAAAACAACGAAGATTCCGGGTGATTGGAGCTCTGCCTCCGACGATCAAGTTAGTAACTTGAATAGGAGTAAAAAGGTGCGGAAAACTAGGTGGGTATCTGCTCGGATTTCAAGCTCGAGATGTCTCTTCCAAAGAGTAAATGTGTAATAAATGGTAAAAACGTGCCTCCAAATGGAGGAAATCTCCCTATTTATAGGGTCCTAGGGGATTGGGCCCCTGATTAGGTCATCAAGCCCTAATCAATGGAAGGTTGCGCCGCATTGCGACTTTCTCGGGATTTGGGCCATGAAGGCTGCCTTTTTCCCACTCTTTTGGAATGACCCGTGTCAAACAGGGGTTGGTCCATTTTGGACTAACCCTAGGGTGACACATGGCAGGGTAAACAACAAGCACCACAAAAACCACAACAGAAATATTACCAACACCTTAACTAGAGAACCTAACCACAAGCTCCACCTCCATATACTGATCCTACCCTGCCGGAGATTAAAACTATGTTAGCCAGTATGAAAAAGAAGATGCAAAGTAGGGATGCACAAATTGACTCAATGTTACCACATAATATCACTTTTAATTTAGAGGGAGTTTTAAGGGTTCCTATATGTTAGAGGAAAATTGTTGTAGTATTAATGTGATTGATATTATGCAAGGTCCTTGCAAGGGATTGCAAGGGATCCCTTGGAGGAAGTGATTTTTGGTGATTTTATTGCAGGTGATGCTAGTATTTGAAGCAGTGAGGTAGATGCTATTGAAAAAGCTCTTGCAATTGAACAGCTTCATTCTAAGGAGAGCAAGAAGATAGAAAATTAGTTTAGGAATCAAAACCTGTAAAGGTAAAGAAACCTGAACTAAAACCTCTCCCTTTTCATTTGAAATATGTATATTTAGATAAACAGAAATTACACCCCATGATCATTAGTATTGGACTTAATGACCTCCAAACTTTCGAACTTCAATTGAGTACAGTATTGATGATCTCAAGGGTTTAGCTTTGACTTTCGTATGCACAGGATACATTTAGAGGACAATCACAAGCCATGCATTCAACCTAGATGAGGTTGAATCCTAACATGTAGGAAGTAGTTAAGAAGAAGTTATGAAATTACTTGATGTAGGTATCATCTATCTAATTTGTGACTCAAAGTGGGAGAGTCTCGTACAAGTAGCTCTTAAAAAGGGTGGGATGAGTCATGAGTGTGATTAAAAATGAATTGATTCCCACTAGAACTGTAATAGGGTGACGTATGTGCATTGATTATCGTAGATGAAATCTTTTCCATTAAAAAAGATCAATTTTGTTCCTCCTTTTTTTATTGATCAAATGTTGGAAAGGTTAGCTAATCATAAATTATTCTGCCATTTGGATACGTACTCGGGATTTCGCCCTAATAATTAGGAGAAGACAACATTCACACGCCCTTATGTTACTTTTGCATATAGTAGGATGTCTTTTGGACTATATAATGCCCCTGCTATCTTTCAACGATGTATGATGAGCATTTCTCCTGAATTCATAGAGTAACCTATGTAAGTCTTTATGGATAATTTAAATGTGTATGGGTCTTCATTTGATATATGTTTAGCTAATCTCACTATAATTTTCAAAAGATGTGAAGAATGCAATTTGTTCTTAAATTTGGAAAAATGTCACTTTATGGTGACAAAAGGTGTGGTTTTAGGTCATAATGTATCTAACAAAGGTATACTAGTTTATCAAAGATTTAGTGATTGAGCAAAAACCTTCACTGGCTAAAGTTAAGGGGGTTAGGAGTTTTCTTGGTCATGCGGGATTTTATCATTGCTTTATCAAAGATTTTTAAAATATTGCTAAACCACTAATTTGCTTAGCTTGAATAGTTATCTTTTTTATAAAAAGTTCAGGATTCGAATCTCCTTATCCTTATGTTTTTATATGAAATAATATTGGTTTCTTATGTGACGTGGAGTAATAATTAAAAGTGTTTGAGTGATAATGTGACATCATGAAATGTTTGAAAGGTCACATGACGTCCTAAAAAAGGGATTACGTGACACATCAACGTTTTTAAAAACGTCTTTTCATACATTAGAATAGATAGCTTTAGGCATGTTTTAAACTTGTAAGGATTTTACTAGTTAAGAGAAATATGTAAAATCGAATAAAAGCATAAATCAAATTATATGACATACATGAATCGTAAAAGTGTAAGATTCAAACTTATACGTTGAAATTTTAATAACCGACTATATTTGTGACCTCTATTTCCTTCCCGTAATCGAACTTTCCATAGAAAGCAGCTCGCACTCGGTAATAAGACTTGAACATTTTCCCATCGACTGGACCTTTCACAGGGACAAGGACGAATAAGGAACGAGAACTGGTAAAGCGATAGTCTTAACTCCTACTAGAAATCTTAGAGGGTCGCATCATTGGATAAGAAAGCAAATAGAATAATCCAGTGATCAAGTTGCTCTGATGGGAAGGCCCTACCTCGTATGAAACCTATTCTCGAATAAAGGAAAGGGGATAGGATCTATATTTATTGTTAGGCTACATAGGCACGTTATCTCAGAGCTTTGTTACTAGTGGCAGTAATCATTTAATAAATATAAGATATAAGAGTATTCGAAACGAAGTGACTTAGACAAATCGTTTTTGTCAATAACCTCCGACCAATCAATCGAATATTTGATCAGAAAAAGGTCGAGTAGCTGCCGGTACTTCTTGGTCGGGAGTCGGTCCCACAGGTGGCCGATCATCGGTCCCCTCCTAGGAGGAGGTTCCCAAGCTACCGACGAAAGTCGAGCAAAGAAGCAGCTCCATACTGGTAACAAAACTACCAGTATAGTACAGAAAGGCGAGGAGGGAAAATTTTTCCGAGGGCACATACGCGGTGGTCCAGAAAGTGAAAGTTATGGGAGAAGCAGGCTAAGTGAAATAATCGAGTTAAGGAGATTAATAACAATATACTACTAAGTATAAAGGAGTTAATGCGTGAATATGAATTACCTTGTAGTCAGAAAGAAGAAAGCCAAACAAGCCGTTTCACCCCTTACTAAAAAGCTTCCCGCGAGGACGCCCTCCATTACACTAGCCCCAAATAAAAAATAAAAAAGAAAAAAGAAATTCCCCATGCTAAACCTTGTCTTTTTAACTATCCTCGTTTAATTTAAAGTTCTGTTACTCACTCTTTTTTTTTTTTTTTTTTTTTTTTGGTAAATAGAAATTTTATTACCAAAGAATAAGGTTACAACTTACACCAAAGCTAAGCTGTAACACCCGAAACACCAAAGACCAAACAGGCCAACCAAACACCAAAACAGATTCCAGTCCAAGCCTAGCCACCTTCTAGGAAGAACATGAACCAACTACTGAACTCGGGAACTTAGGCACCTTCTAGGAAGGGTACTAAGAACTAGGACCAGAACAACAAACCTAAGCAGAATACAGTAAATATCTATCAATGCTATTACATATGCAAGCAACCAGAAAAATTATCTCCCTAATTAAATCAGAAACTGATTTACAGTTTCCTGTAAACATTAAAGCATTACTTTGAAGCCACACATTGTAGACAGTTTCAGAAAAGTACATCACAATGAGTCTGCTCCTAGCATCAGTTTTCCTGCAGCATTTTGCAATCCAGTGCAGTTCATCAGCAAAGCTTAACACAGGCCTAGTGAAACCCAGAATTTGTAACATTGAAGACCAGATCACATTTGAATAGCTGCAATCAAAGAACAAATGGTTCACATTCTCATCAACACCAGCATAGAAGAAACAACAAGGATCACAAGGGATTTGCCAGACTAACAATCTGTCCTTAGTGACCAATCTGTCTAGAATAGCAAGCCAAGTGACAAAAATACTCTTTGGTGAAGCTTGATTGTTACTCGCACTCTTTATTTTACCTGAAGTACCTGTGTCGTACTGTAGACACTCAAACATGGGTATGACACCTAGACAAATCATAGAAATTTTTCACAAAATAGCCGAGTCGAAAACTTGGACTCCTGCTCGTGTCAAACATGAGTACTTGAGTCCGAGTAACATAGATTCAAAGGGATACATGCCTCAATATCCACAATTCGAGCTTTTTTTCATTACATACCTATATTGGATGAAGACGCGGAAAATTCTCACTCCTCTGATGACTCAGATACCCTTTCTTCGCCAAACCATCTTGGAGGATCAAAGCCTGAGCCACCTGCAATAAAGCTCACCTTTAGTCACTTTACAGTTTTAGCTCCTCGGTTTTAATCCATTGACATAAATATGGAGAAAAAGTTCCTTTCAAAATTAAATAGAGAGTAAAAGTGAAATAAATTAAGACTTACTTTATGGACAAGATCATCTTCCAATGCATGATAAACATTAGTATGGATACGATCAAGTAATGTTAGGCGAATAGCTTAATTTAAGACATCAATTTCTGAAGACTATTGTCAAATAAAACTGAAGAATTGTACTTTTTAATGATGAATTCCACAATCATCAAGTGTAGATAACTACGCTCCATTTTCCTCTTTTAATTTGGAGCTTAGACTTGTATACAATTTTTCCATCAGTTTTACTAACGATCTTACCTCTTTGGGATCACATAATCTTAGCAAAGTTTTAAGAGTAACTGGTTCAAGTTTGAGTACTAAATTCTTTACAAACACACTCCTATTTCTTTGATTCATTGAATGTCCATCTCTAGCAAAGCTACTTTCATTTCTTATGAAACATGGCTCTGTACCTCTCCATCGAATTCCTTTGGCCTTGAAGTATCTTCTAGCACACTCTCTTTCATCTTTCAAATCTAAGTACACCTATCCTATGGGGTTTGAAATGAACCCAATATCCGCAGCAACCTCGACTTCTGTAACATCCATTATGTATGTTAACTTTCCCACAATTTTGGAACAAGCATTTTGATAGTATTTTTCCCAATTTAAACTCCATTCAATAAGGACTATTTATTATCAAAGGTGAAAAATATGGGTGATTAACCTGACTTTTTCTTCAAGAGAAAGCTACTTTGATTGTGAAAAAGACATGATTGGTAAACTTTATCCTCTTGCTCTTGACTTTATCTATAAGAGAACCTATTATATATGTATCTTAAATGTGTAAACAAGAGTTGGAATATCCTTAGCATACATTCTGAGGTACCGCCATGTTCTTCACATTAGCTTCCACTTTGAGGGTTTTTTTTTTTTTTTTTGAAGGAATTCCACTTTGAGGTTTAGTTATGCATTCCAAGAAGATTTACGATACTTCCTCCATTAATTCAACCTTATATGTCTCCTATGAAAGATCATCTCCAACAATACAGTCATCTTTAATGTAAGGACCATCATGATGATATTTTATCAGACTCTTTGCACAATCTCCTGATAGCTTTGTAATTCTTTGGCTAAATTTGGTGACCTATATCTAAGTCAGACTATTCCTTCTAAAGAATTCTAAGGTAAACAGACGACAAGGCTCTTCTTAATAACTCCGTTTACAATATTTTGGTCAAATCACAACATAAAAGAACACAATTCAGGAGCTTATATGTTTTCTCTAGCTTGATGCACAGATTTATAACTAAAGGCTAAAAGATCCACGGTTACTTTCTATCATTTCTATGATACTTACCTCCATTTTTTTTAGTTGACACGTATTCCTTTTCAGGAATTTTTTTTTTAGTTTACACATTTTCTTTTTGGGTAAGTTTTATATCTTCTTTTTAAGCGTACCCCACTTGCTTTGTCATTCTCTCTCACTCTCTCTCCTCTCCTTAATATGTGTGCCTAAATTAAACGTGTTAACTAAAAAGAAACGGAGGAAATATAAGTTAATCATGATAATGTTTTTCAACTTCCAGCAAGAGATGGATTAAACATTGAATCTTGCAGTCTTTTACATCTCTTGAAACCATTACTACCACATTCCTTGATTACTAAAAATATTCCCCTTAGGTTTCAACTCTTTAACTAGCATAATTGGCTTTTCTAAATCGCTCGAATTTATAAAAAACCAGCACTTTCACACCCGCCTCAACCTCCTCAAATTATGAAGACAAAATTCCATACAATGAACTCCAGAACCGTGAAAAAACAGGTACCAAACAAACCCCTTTCAATAATATTGAAATGCCATCAAGCATTTGACACGAGTTGAAAGTGAATTCAGAGAGATAAGTGTAGAAATCAGCTGGGAGAATAATTACAGAAACTTGAATCAGTAACACAGTCAAAGCCAAGGCTCTCTGGCAACATGAATCATCAATGGGAGTCAGCCAACAAACCTCTAATCAGAGCAACTGACAATAAAATGCCACTTAGAACAATATTCCCAAAAGCCTAGAAGAAGCTGCTGTTACCTCCTATCTAAAGCAATTAGTATAATACTTTTGTTATTGGCCAATGAACTTAACCAAACAATGTGATTTACTCGATCAAGCACCACAAAATCAGGAAGTTAAATTCAACACTTAAGTCTTATCCCAAGTGTAGAGCATCTGAACAAGAGACAGGAAGACTCATGCACAAAGGGCATGTTTCGATTTACTAAAAACAACTAAACTAAATTGAACTGATTAGGGGTGAAATGAATTGAGCTGAAATAAATTGTTTATGATAGAAGGAAATTAGAAACTGAACTAAACTAAACTAATTGAAGCTGAACTGAACTAAACAAATTAAGTAGAACAAAACAGACCCTAACCAATCTTTTGTAAGAATTTCCCGGGCTAAATAGGATAATTTGTCACACTCATGTATTCCTTCTGTCTGACTTCAGTTGACACATTACTAGTTCAAGTTACACTATCTCCCACATTTTTTTAATATCAAACTAGGTGGAACATAACGGAGAGTAGTTCAAGCCAAACTAATATAACAGATTATCCACCCAAAAAAATGAAAGACATTAATTTACCTAGCGGATTGCAACGACAAAGGCGCCAAGCAGTCAATATAGTGCCCTTAGCAACTCCATATTTCTTGTAAGCAATCATCGAATATTCACTGCATGATGGTACATAACGGCAACTCTTAGGCAACAATGGCGATATCTCTCCTGCCATCAAAATTAAAATAATATACTCATTAACAACATACAGATCTCAATTTAAAACATCAAAGAATTAACTTGGTGATTGTTTATTAAGAAATTAAACTAGAAAAAAAAAAAAAAAAATAATCAAAATGTCAGTAATACTCACTTTTATAGAATTTGAGCATTGATAACGCAGCTTTAACCCCTGTACTTTGCACTTTATCTTCATCATCTGGGTCAGGCTCAGGCTCAAATTTGTTAAAAATTGGAGAAATTTGTCGCTGATTTCTACTAACCTGTAATTTAAAAAAAAAATTAAAAAAAAAAATTAAAAGTAAACCCATTTGCAAAAGATTTACATGTTTTTAAATGAAATTCATCAACGGTCATATTATCAAAGATTGATAAAGTTGTGTAAAATTGAATTTACAGAAAATGGTGAAGTGGGGTAGTGGCGCAGTTGGCGGCTGTGACTGTTGATGTGTTTGGGGAATTTGAGAGGAGAAGATGAATTTAAATTAATAGGATAAAATTCAGAAAAAGGTGGGGAGCGGAAATGTGTAAGAGAGAGATTAGTACCCATTTTTTGTGTTCTGCTGAAACAAATACGGAGTATCAAATTTTAATATTGTTGGTGTCAGGCTGTAAGCTGTTTAAAATACAAACTTGGTCCGGGCGATACCTCAATTTATTATAAATTTAGTAATTTAATGAAATTATACTATGGCCTTGTTTGACACCAGAGAGCTCAAATAATGGGTGTGTGTGTGTTTTTTTTTTTTTTTTTTTTTTTCTAAAGATGAGATTTTTAGTATGTAGTTAGTTGTTTGTGTGAGCTTGTTGGTTTGACTATAAATTTTTTTTGGTTAATATAGAACAAATAATAAATCAAATCTTTATAATTTTGATGTCAATATATATACTACTTCGCATTAATTATTGCTCGTACTCTACAACTACAATTTTATGAATTAATGCACAAAAAATAGAGTAATGATTAATTTCTTACAAATTATATTATTGTGCAATTACTAAGGATTTTAAGGGGTTACACATATGAAAAACCTTTCAATCAAATTATATTATTTTGCAATTATTAAAAAGTAAATTTAAATAGGATAATTTCTTACAAATTTAAAAACTTATTTATATGTCACATGTCCTCACAACTCACTCATATGCCACATGTTACTTCCCTTACCTTTTTAATATTAAAAAAAATTAAATTAAAAATATTCCATAATATTAAAGTCTGTAAGCGTAACTTGCACATTTAAGTAAGAAAATGAAGTGTTTCATTTCTACCATGATAAAATTAAGTTGAATTAACTATTACATAAACATATGAATTATAATAAAAATATTCTTTTTATCTCTTAAACTTAAAATATAGCTTAAACTAATACGAAGTATGTCATTTCATATTCTACAATATTCATGTATATATACTTAACTAAATTCCTTCATATTCTTCCACAATTCCACCCTCACTTTTTTTTTAACAAGTTTTCACAACATTCACCTCAAAAGTCATGTAATAATAACTTTGTAGTTTCAACTGTTGAAAAGCATACATTTATATAAAAATAACATAAGTTATAACTCGTGCATTGAACAGGCCAAAATGCTAGCTACACTTCGATTATGTGGCAAGCTTGGAATATGATGTGGCGCAGTAAAACGTAAAAATGACACATGGCGATACAACACTCCTTATCTTGCGGTTTTAATAATAATATAGATATAGATTATCTGTCAAATTAAGCACAAATTTTCAACTTTCTCATTTAATGTTACGAAATATTTAAATTCCAGTCACCATTCTTCATCTTCTCACTTCTTTCCCGGGAGATAATATTCCTCAAATCTTTCTTGGTAAAGGTCACATTTTCAACCCCATTCCTCTCACTGGCTAGTGAGTTGAAGACTTGGGTGGCCTTAGACCTAGCAACAACGTCAGTGAAGAGCTTTCTCCTCACAGCAGCATTGATGTGATCTAGCCTTTACTTAGCAATGTAGTGAGACTTTCAAGGTGTAGCGACATGATTCTTGTGCTTTAATTCCAACCCCTTAGCTACCCAATCACCAGATTTTATTTTTATTTTTATTTTTATTTTTATTTTTGCAGTAGTACGTATACACCGGGCAGTCACATTTCTTTGACTTACGCCTCGAAGGCCCTTCTCGTTCAGCAACAACCCTTTTCTCACTAATGCGAAGCCTATAAGTAGTGCTTCCATAACATTCACACTTCCACGTGTACTCTCTTAGCTGATTAGACGCAGCGTCTTTCTTCTAGGTGTAAGAACCAGATGCACAAAGAATCCCAAAACCTTGTTGCCTTCCATAGTTCTTGAAATAAGTATCAACATCTCCCCAGCTAGCAAATATCATCCCAACAAAGGGCAAAGGAACAATCCCATAGAAAGAACAACATCATAGCACCTCATACTCTGCGTTCCATCACAATAGGTTGAATTTGGTACCTCTTTGTTGCCTTGGGGTGTAACCTTATAGTCAGAGTCCAAGTACACAACATCATCGCGGTCAAAAATCCCACCACTCGTACTGCCACCCCCCATTATTCTAAAGACATATGTACATGAATTTATTATAAGCACATAGAAAGTTTTATGATATTATATTTGGATGGGTAGGAGTACCTAATATCAAATGTGATTGAAATAATAAGCACATTCCATTCAAACATGTTTTGTGTAATTGAAATAACAAGTATGTTGACAACAATTCATAAATCAAACTATATATAAGCACATTCATAGTTTTATGCGTTGTTCTCCCTTTTAGCTTCAATCGACAAGATAAACTTACTACGTTGTATGACATAAACAATATATTATTATTGGTATTTGTATGTTCATTTACTGTTGAATTCTTGTAACAATGGCAAACAACAAGGACATGAATGCTACTTATTTAAAAAACCCCATAAAGCCAAACAATTAAGTTGCATAACCAAACCCAACTACGTATGTATACTACTTTGGTGGTCTTGCTGGACCTGAGCAAGATGAGCTGAGAAATCTGATTGGGGTTGCTCCTATTACTATCCCTTTTAAGTACTTGGGGTCCCTCTTTCTTCAAAAAAATTTACCATTGCTCAATGCAAGCCTCTTGTTGATAAAGTGACTGTAAGGATTAATGGTTGGTCTGCTAGACACCTTTCTTATGCTGGTAGGCTCCAACTAGTGAAGAGTATTCTCTTTGGCATCCAAACCTATTGGACCAAAATCTTTATTCTTCCTAAAAAGATCCTAAGAGAAATTGAAGCAAGATTTAGAGCTTTCTTATGGACTGGAAAAGCCAATCCCTCCAAGAATTCTCTTGTTTCTTGTTCTCAAGTTTGTCTTCCCAAAGTTAGTGGAGGGTGAAACCTTCTTTCTCTCCCTGAGTGGAATGTGGCTGCAATTTCTAGACTTCTATGGGACCTTTCCCTTAAAGCTGATAAATTATGGGTGAAATGGGTGCATATCTATTACTTCAAAGACAAAACTTGGTGGGATAGACCTACTCCCAGGAAGTGTTCTTGGGAGCTTAGTAGAATTTTGAAATGTAGAACTATTATTGATGAGATTGGAGGTTAGGATGCTGTTATGCAAGGTGGTAAAATCAAGATTAAGAAGATTTACTAGAAGATTGTGGCTCAAGCTCCCAAGGTTCCTTGGAGAAGACTGTTCTATAACAATCTTGCTACTCCTAAGAGATTGTTTGTTCTTTGGCTAGCTGTTAGGAACAGGTTGCTTATAAAAGACAGATTGGCAATGTGGAATATGCAATGTGATCCCATTTGTTTTCTCTGTAATCTGCATTTGGAATATGTTCACAATTTATTCTTTGAGTGCAGATTTGCTAAGGGCATATGGGAAGGATTTTGACTATTTTTGGTTATAACAGGTCTGTTTTGCCCTTTGATGCTGAGGTTCTATGGGTTTCTAAAATGTGCAGGAAAACTAGAACTAAAAATAGGCTATTGGGTATGTGTTTTGTTGAGATTGTTTATCACATATGGTTGCAAAGGAACTCTTTGATCTTTATAGGAAGCTGCAAACCTGGTTAAGCTATTCTTAGAGATATCTTATTTGCTGTTGCCTGCAGATGTCCTGTTCCTGATAGAAAATTGCTGATTTTGTAATGTTCTTATTCTTTTTGGCAGTCTTGTTGTTCTGGCTTTTTAGCCTGTTTTCTTTAGCAGTTCTCACGCTTGTCTTTCCTGCTTGTGTTCTAGGTTCTGTTGCCTAGTCCTTAATTTTGGAAGCCTTCCTAGAAGGTGGCTAGTTTCTTGAGTCCAGTAGTTGTTCTTTGTCAACCTAGAACCCTTCCTAGAAGGTGGCTAGGTTTGATTTTAGAATTGGTTTTGATGGTTGTATGGCATGTTTGGTCTTTAGTGTTTGGGGTGGTTTTTGGTTAGCTTTTGTAAGCATTAACTTTGTATGCTATAATTTGCTTACTTTGGTAATAAAATTTCTATTTACAAAAAAAAAAAAAAAAACACTACGTATGTATACATTATCAATCCCCAAACAAATAAGATAATAGATAGGGACAAATAAGCTACTAACACATAACTAATACAAACAAGTTGCAATCCAAACCCAACCACATACAAGTAACTACTAACTTGTCACATGAACTATTCCAAAAACCGTACAAATAATTTCAGATTTTCAAGGTTCAAACTAGAAACAATTGCAATGTCAATTCCAAAACCAAACACAAACAAAAAAGTTGTAGATTCTGAAACCCTGGAAATATCACCTAAATTATTAATATGATATGATCTACAAACCCTAGAAATTGAAACCTAGAACTTATTAACATAATATTATCTCAAAACCCTAGAAATTTTGTTTTAATTAACAATCTTCAATTCAACACACAATCAACTTAGTATGTTATTCCTAATTATAAATTTCACATTACGATATAAATTCCCAACAGATTGCCAAGAAAATAACAAAACCAATAATTAATTATAAAGTATAGTACCTGAAGTTGTTGATCTTTGTTGAGTTTAGTAAAGAATTCCCGGAAATCCAATTCAGAAACCCTAGAAATTTAGTTTAATACATTAATAACTTTAATTGAAATCAACAAAAGCACTAATTAAATAATATATATAACTAAAAATTAAAGTGTGTTTACAAGATTTTGTTTGTTGTTTTCGAACTTAACTTGGTTGAGTTTCTTCTTCATCGTTCTTTTTTTTATTCTTGAAGTTTTTGTTGAAAGATGGAAACTTTAGCTTTCTCTTTCTGCCTTTTCTATCACTTTGGGAAAATAGTGACCTCAACTTCAATCATCGCCATATTGGCGGAAAATTTCCCCCCAAAATCATTCCCCGTTCCCGTTTTTGCAACCAAACGTAAGTTTTATTTATTTATTTATTGTTTGACTTTATTTTTAATTGGAGATAATATTATTATATTGTTGCGTTGGTCCAATTAGACCCTCTCCAATTTCGTCCAAGACTTCTTCACTTGCAACAATTACTAAAAATGGGTGCTAAGCTTTAATTGTAACAATTTTTTTTTCTTCAGTTTTTAGAAAGTTTCTAATAGCAAAATTAGCAATCTACCCTTATTATAAATTAATTAACCTACACTTATACACTTAACTACAAACAATTATGAGTTCCCCACCTGAAAAATCCTCAGATCTCTTTGTGTATGAGAATCTAGGAGTTGAGAAAGATGACACCGACCTTCCCCCTCCTTGTCCAAGTGTACTAGTGTGAGTGCGGAACTGGTAAAATAAAACCTCATCAGTGCTCTTTGTTGTGGACAAGATTCAAAAGAGCCGGTAGCGGTGCAATGATCGTGGAGTACGTATCAGATGAGGAGGATTTAGATTTGGGGAAGAAAGGTGAAGCGTAGAACTGTCTTGAGGCAGATCTGGGCAAAGAAATTGTTGTGATGCCTGATGTTGGAACACTTCGCCCAAATCTGAAAAGGAATGTTGTTGTTCTTGCTGATACCCATGAGGTTGTTATTAGCAACC